AGTCCGAACAATGTAAATAGTATGCATAATACCTCATCTCAGAAATATAGACAGATACTAATTGCTTATTTATTAAAATACAAAAATTTAAAAATAGATGATAAGCTAAAATGCAGTGCGTGGGCGAAGGTGATATTGAATGCACTTGCGTAAAATGATTTATTAAAAGGAAAAGACAAACCTGATTCGTTCAATCTAATTTGGAGGAAAATATTTCAAACAAAATGATAGGAAAAGAATGAAACGTTAGAGAATTGTGTCTCTTCGTCTCTTTAAGATCCACCAATGAAAATCTGGCGTAAATAAAGGCTTTTATTAATCAAACTCCTTCTCTAGATAAAACAATTCTATCGATCCCGCAAATAAAATTATTCAGGAAAATAATTTGATAAAGACCAATTTCGAAAAGGTTACATGTCATTAGCCGGCAGTAATTAATAACATTCTAAGGAGAAGATAAGTAGGGAACTATTTCGAGTGTTCACGATATTAAGCATAACGTCATAGAAATCATGTCTGTTGTTTATGAAAAAAAAAGGAAACTTTTATAAAACCATGAATAATAATGAAATATTATCTCTTACGTATCAAACCAGACTCATATGTTTAGAATCGGTTAATGGGATGTAAAATGGCAGCATTATTCCTCAATCAACAATCAAAACTGTTTGAAACATTTACTGCTTATTTTATATGCATTAGAAATGAGAGATAATGTTTATATGGGGTGGGGTGTTGTAGTTCACACTCCGATCCAATTCCAACAAACGATATTTTAATGGCTACACATCAAAGATTTTGAAGGTGGAGCTATAAAAAAAAAAAAGACTGAGAAACAATGTGGAATGTGTGGTGGACTGAGAGATGAATATATGGAATATCATGTAAATTTTATGGCTCAAATTTATTTTGCTTGATCAGGATGACAACTTTTTTGTACCCCCATTCCTCAAGCTCAATGGTGTCCAGATTTTAGCCTTTAAGTTTGAAATGATTTTCATTTACTTCAGACAAATACACACACAAATAAGGATAAGTGGGGAAGGAAAGAAAAGTAAGCGATATCTATGTTGCTCACATACATTTCATCCCAAGCAAGGTAATAATGCCACTAAGACGCAATGGAAGTGAATTAAAAAAGTTTAGTTAGGAGAAAGGACAATAAAAGAACAATATACTGGAAGACCGAAGGCGACAGGGAAGCATGAAACCAAAAGAGAGTTCCACGGTTGAGAAAAGAAACGATTCAAATAGAACTTACGGTTGCATCTAACTAGTTCAGCAGTAAGACGGTGAGACCTAATAGCCAATCTAGTAGTATGCTTAAATTCATGCGGACGAGATACCAAGGAGGAGAGCGATATTTATTTGTACAATGATACAAAATATGGCACAAGGTTAAAATGGGTAATGGGAAAAAGGACGGTCTTCTGTTTTAACGTTAAACATAGCTAGCCAGAAACACTGACCCAAACATATAATATTCCAAACAGCAAAAAAACGCATTCTTACTTACTACATTCACCATAATACCTCAGTGTCTCTACGAAAGTCCTATCTAGTCCACATATGTACAATTCATTGTCTGTGGGGGGGAAGGGGAATAAAATAACAATTTTTTTAAAATTTAACCCTAATGTATATGTACAAAAATGAACAAAATTATTTACAAAAAACTAAACAAAATAATGTTAGTAATATACCCCCACCACCACCAATGTCCCTAAATGCGGCAGAAGCATCAGTTAACTGGACGAAATCAATGCGGAACTCTAATACTATAAAACATACATTTATCCCAGGCACTCAATCCAACGCGCGCTCATTTAAACACAACAACAAAAACGAAAATCACACAATCTGGTTTGTTTGTGGTAAATAGGCGCCAATGTACTCTTTCTATAATGACGTCTTTGTCAATAATTAAATATCCAGTCTCTAAACTAAATTCTCAAAGTAGAAATCTTCATGAGCTCTGGTTGGTTGGTTGATTTTGTTTAGCGGCATATCAACACCTCTATGGGTTATTTAATGACGAAATTTAAAATTCTGAATGCAATTTTATGCTTTCAACAACAGATATGGTGTATATAATTTTATACTTGCAGAGTAAAGCTATATTTTTTTTATCCATATATTCTGTAGATCATAAAATGCATTGGTGGTAATTTTAATATAAAAATGTATTTTTATAATTTAGTGTTGCATTATCATTTGCTATAAAAATATATTGGTCATTTTAACTATAAAAATATACTGTTGATTTATGTTTTGGGGTTCATTATTTGCCCAATAGCTGGGAGCCTAATATGGTGCTACGACCCCCGGGTCAGGGTGGACCTGGGAACAACAGCAATTAAGAAGTGATTCCACGTTCCTCGAAACCTCCAATCTCCGATCAGAGTTCTTCCTGCCAAATGTAGTGTATCGTCATACACAGGAGATGTTAACTCTGGTAGTGACAGACTTCTTGTTACAAAAGTTTGAATTTTACTGAAAACCTATTCTTTATTACTGATCGACATTGTTTCCTAGCAGTCGTAGAATGATGGTCCGAGTCGTTGCTGTAAAAAGAATGTAGATGAACGAAATGTTGGCAAATCATTTCATTAGGAAATCTTTTATATCGACCATGAGATTATTTAATCTTTTATATCGGCCATGAGATTATACTATCTTTTATATCGGCCATGAGGTTATACTATCTTTTATATCGGCCATGAGATTATATTATCTTTTATATCGGCCATGAGATTATATTATCTTTTATATCGGCCATGAGGTTAGTTAATCTTTTATATCGACCATGAGGTTATTTAATCTTTTATATCGACCATGAGGTTATTTATTCTTTTATATCGGCCATGAGATTATATAATCTTTTATATCGGCCATGAGGTTAGTTAATCTTTTATATCGGCCATGAGGTTAGTTAATCTTTTATATCGGCCATGAGGTTAGTTAATCTTTTATATCGAGCATGAGGTTAGTTAATCTTTTATATCGAGCATGAGGTTAGTTAATCTTTTATATCGGCCACGAGGTTAGTTAATATTTATATCGAGCATGAGGTTATTTTATCTTTTATATAAACAATGAGGTTATTTAATCTTCTATATCAACCATGAAAGTCATTGCTCTTACTTGTTTTTGTCATAGTAATAGCAGTAGTAGACGTCATCGTATTAGTAGTAGTAGTAGTAGTAGTTGCGGCATTAAGAAGACAGAATATATAGTTGCAATTGGAACAACCTATTGAAGTATTGAAATTAGAGATATCCAAACAGAGGACATGAAACACGAACATCGAAAGGTGCATTGGAATAGCGACAAATGTCTTCCAAAAGCACAGCAAAGTATTAAGAAACAGGAAAATTTCATTGAATAGATAGAAAACAGTGCTGAACTCTTATGCAATATCGGTCCTCCAATATGGCTGTGAGTGCTAGACAGTCTACTCATAGATGAAGAGACATGAAGAAACAGAAATATGGTTCAACAGAATGATCTTGAGAATATTATAGGCAGGATATGTGATTAACGAGGAAGTTGTAAGGAAAATGGAAACAAAATTCAGACATAATTATAATCATAAAAAGACAACTGAAATTTCTAAGGTACATATTAAGAAAAGAAACCTTGGAGAATGTGACACTCACAGGACATATTGAAGGCAAGAGAAAAAGGTGGAACGCAGAGAATAAGCTACCTAAAGATATTTCAGCCGATAAGCTCTTCAGTCTTTATTGGCGATTATGTCGCATTTGGAATTTACGATATTTCAGGGTTGAAAATAAAAATAGCAATTTTGATTTCAGCTGCAGCAAGTTAAATAATTTTCATAATAGTGAACGAATGCCTTATACTTATGTCAAAATATGCGAAGATTAATAAAGAACTTTTCTCATTGAGTATCAGTAAATTTGTCGAAAATCAAGGGAATGACGATATTCTTCCTGTTATGTTTTTCTTCCTAGTTTGTTCTTTAATTCAAAAAAAAAAAAAAAAAAAAATCTGGGTGTTAATAACGGTCCGTTAATGATTCTCGAATTCAGTCAAATTCCTTCCATTTCCAGAATCACTTCAATACACATTCCGTTTGTTAAACGTCCTCGGTATGACGATAAACTACATCCAGCAGTAAAGCCTCCGGGATGTTTTGAGGAGCGTGGAACCACCTCTTAATTGCTGTTACTCCCAGGTTCACACTGACCCGGAGTGGTAGCACATGTTAGGGTCCCTGCTATGGGTAAATAGTTAATATCCGAACTGGGATCAAAACAATATTTTTCTAGTAAAAATACCAGAAATATTTAAAAAAAAAAAAAAAAAAAAAAATTACCAGTAATACTCGACAAAAACCGTCTTTACAAAAATACGTCAATGAAAGCTGATCTACTAACTGATTTCTGACAAAGAATACAGCTTCTATTCATACAAACCTGTCCTAAAATCTTGCCAGCATTAAATAACCCATTGAGGTGTTGATATGCCGTAAAAGAAATTAAAGCAAACCAAACCCCGTTTGTTAAAATACAAGAAAGAAAAGGCTTTCCATATTTATGATTTATTGAATAGACTGAGGAAATTCCCCCACGAGTTTAGGATTGTTTCACTCATCGAATACTTTCGCTTTTTCTATCACTCTTTCAATTTAAGTCTTTGTCTCTCTTTCTTTTTGTCTCTCTTCCCTTCTTTTTTTAGATTTTTTTTTCACGCCCTATTTCTTTCTTTCCCTCTCTCTCTCACTTCCACTCTTTGCTTGTCACACTGTATCATTTCCTTCACACACACTCTTATGGTTTCTCTCCCTCTCTCCGTCTTTCGCTCGCTTTCTCTTTCTCACTCTCTCTCTCTCTCTCTCACGCGCGCTCGTGCGTGATCTCATACTTTTTCATATTCAGTCTTTCTCTCCCATTCTTCCTCTCTACTCAACCCAACAGAGTTGCTTTATATTATTCTCAATTTATCACGCAAGTAAACAAAACAAAAATACTTACATATTTTATTCAAATAAATTTTGACACTTTTAATCCTATAGACTTCCTGCAAATCGACTGACCACCACGGATTCAACTCTTTAGCCGTCTGCGAACATCCGTTTCTGGTCTCCTTCCTTCCGTCCACAGCCAATGGAGATTTCAACCAATTAACTGAGGAAGATTGATGGGTCGGTTTATTCAGAGCCACATTTACTTCATTTGGTAAATCAAAAAGAGAAAAAAAAAAAAAAACTTGTTTTGAAATCCTTCAAGGCTTCTCAGCTATTCAGGTCACAGATATAAATGTTAGGATTTAGTAAGCAAATTCTTCAAAACAATCATTTACTCGCGATAGTATAAACAAGATTCTTTGCAATGCTTCTGCTACTAACCCTAACATAGTTTTTACCATTTTCTTCGGAGTAGCACTCTATCGCGATCGTACACAGAATGATGTTCATAAAAGGTAGCAACCAAAGACACTGCTACATAAGGCTGGCACAAATATTAACAACTATTAGTAGATAATAACAAAATACTATACAGTTTTCACTGCAAGAAAAGACAAATTCTAGTATCCATTATAAAAGTGCTCAAAATCAGAGATAGAGCGTATGTAAATATATATATATATATATAATAAAAAAAGTTAATGGTCAGATTTGTTTACCAACAAGAAACTATAAAAACATTTCCAGACCAAAAATCTTTGAATGAGAGATCGGAAATTATGACCCGTTGCATACACACTAAATAATTTCCTTTTGAGTCCATATGAACCGCGATGAAAAGAAAGTATGTACATTTCATTCACCCACCCCCACACACCGACCGATACATTTCCAATAACCTTGCTTTTCTCCTTCTCCTTCCCTTCTATCAGACTTCACGTTGTCCGTTTGTTTATTTATTTTAAAATAATAGCACGTTCATTAAATTTTAGAAAATAAATAGTTAGGAAATCAATTGACCGAAATCGCCTGAAGATACCGAAAGATTGAAACCCAAGGTTGCGATATCGGGTGATCTAATTTATATATATATATATATATATATATATATATATATTAGTTAAGTAACGAAAATCTTGGTAATCCATATGGATAATCCCAAGGAGGATGAAATCCTGAGAGTTCAATGTTAAGTCAGAGCGAATAATTTAATTAAAAAAAAAAAAACAGACCACTTTAAGGCTCCATTGTAATAATTTATTTCACCAGAGAATTTTATTTTTCTCTGGATCTTCAGACTTCACTTTCAAAGGTGAAACGTAAAGTGAATTAAATTTTACACTTTTGACGGCCAGTATTAAGCTTATATAAGTTGACATAGAAGGTGGTGAGGAATAGTGTGAGAGACTATATATATATATATATATATATATATATATAAAAATACATTTTTATTTTTTTAACATTCTTTTATAGATACAAGTATTTAAGTAAATGCTTTGTTTATAATAAACAGAACTAAATAACATTTACCGGCCTGAATGTCGAGAAATTTTCATAAATGATATTCGTCCTTTATAGGATTCGAACCGAATCCTATACGGAACCGAATCATTTTCGCTGAAAATTTAACCGGACAAATTCAGGCTGGTAAATGTTATTTAATACTGTTTATTATAAACAGAGCATTTACTTAAATACTTGTATCTATAAAAGAATGTTAAACATAAAAAGTGTCTTTAATAAATTGTCGGACTTTGTCCAATTCTTAATATATATATATATATATATATATATATATATATATATATATATATATATATATATACCACAGGAAACAAATTTGTTGGCTACCTGCAAAAAAAAAAGAGTAAAAGATAAAATTTCACTACATACAGTGTATTCGCTTTTATTTTGACCAAACTAAACACTTAACTATAAATCAAACAATCATATTTCGTTTTTGTCAATAAGACCACCACTGGCACTAATTACTGCTTTATAAATTCTTGACATTCTTTTCAAATTTTTGAAAAATGATCCAGAGTATTATGATAAACTACATACAGTAGAAAGTCCTTTGATTGCGAGATTGGAGGTTTTAAATGGCGTCAAATCATCTCTTTAATTTTAATTGCTGTTTTTCCCATGTTCAACCTGACCTGGGGTGGTAGCACCTGTTAGGGCCCCAATAATGGGCAATTAGTGAATTCACAAACAAAAAACAATATTAAAGTATAAAATGACATTTCTATATTAAAAATAAGAATACATTTTTACATAACAAATATCAACAACACCTATTGATAGTAAAATTTCCAACAAATGTTTTCGGTAGTTGAAGGCACGCAAATGCATTCAAAATATTTAGACTTAGGCATTAAATAATCCATAGAGGTTAACATGCCGTTAAATAAAATCAATCAACCAAGTTTTTGAAAAATAAAACAAGATGGCAGACCTTCGCAAGCATTCTTCAAGTGCTGAAAAAGCTCACGCTCATTCTTTGGGTATTCTCTTCGAACTCTCCTATCCAATTCATCCCATAATAATTCAATGGGAGAGAGGAAGTCAGGAGATTGAGGCGGCCAAGTTATAATTTCTGGAATGTTTTTTTTTTTTAACTCGAGGCCATTTTGACATAATTTACAAGAATGTTTTTGATCGTTGTCTTTTTGAAAGGTGGATTTTTCCCAATTGGAGTAAACCAGATGGTATAGCATGTTTTTGCAGAATCGAATAATATCTTTATATTTTCGTGATTCCCTCGACCTGAATAAAATCTCCAGATTTCTCTCTCTCTCTCAAGACACCCCTACACCATCACAGACCCACTATAAGCTTAACTGATGGAACCACACATTCATTATTCAGTCTTTTTTTTTTTCACATTCACTCTCCTGTTACTACCAAGAAGTTCAAATTTCAACTCGTCTCTCCGCAATACATTTTGCTACTCTTTCAATGTCCAGTTCTTATACCCTTTTTTTTTTGTTGCCCGTAACAGTCATTTCTCTTTATTCACATTTCATGACAGGAGGGTGGCTTCAAGATGGCTCTGCGTCCCTCTGAGCCTCGCTAATCCAACTTAATTCTTCGCATTTGAGAACGACACTGATTGCTGTTGAGATAAATTGAGTTTTCCTTCTATTTCTTTTTCTCTCAATAATCACGTGTTTCTCTCCAGCGGCAGTTTTCACTTTTGGTACTTCAGCTTTTTTTCTATCAACATTTAATCCTAATTTCTAACTGCCTTTGTGACAAATATTGCACCCTGTAGGGATATTAGTATTGCTACAAATAAAATAATAATAATAATAATTAGAATAATAACATTTATAAATAAAATAAAACAATAATATTTAAACCTTGTTTAAAATAAATTACATAAAAGAATAAAAATAATAAAATTACTCCCAGCATGAAACAAAAAATTGTTCCGACCGGAAATACGGACATCCCGCCAAAATACGTGAGATTCAATCTTTTCGTCCAAGAACTGTCGGGATGACAACACATGTGTAACTTCCCTCCGTGATAAGACTCGTGATATTAGGGAGTAACTTAATACCTTTTATATGAATATCGCATGCCACAACCACATGTCTAGAAATTCTCAACTTTTGCCTTTGAGGGTGCGTTTTTAATAAAAATTCTATTTGTACTCTCACCTGAATGATTAGATGCTTTGATTTTGCCATTTTGTGCAAATTACTTCAAGATAAAAAAAAAATAAATTAAAAAAAAAAAAAAACAGACATATTTACATAAGTTATATAAGTTTTGTTTACAACAGCAGTCAGCGCTGAGCAAACATTTAGAACTAACATTAAATCTATGCTAAGTTGAAAATTTTGGTAATTTCAAAAAGTCACTGAGGGGTTCTATCTGTTTGTCATAAAAAAATATTCACAATTTAGCAAAATGTATTTTGGACAGACGAATCCAAATTAGAAATTTTTGGTAGTAAGTGGAGCATGGAGAAAAACTGAAAAATAAAAGCCAATGCACTCTAGGTGCTGAAATCTTATGTTTTACTTCCATAGAAATCTTTATTTTACGTTAACTTTTATTTTTAGAAAAAACTTTTCTAATAAATTAAAAGCTTTAAATTTTGCAAAATATTCACAATTCGTGAAAGAAGAAAGGTGTTTCCGAAATAAGAAATGTGTTTTTGAAAAGCAAGCAACGTTTTATTTAATTTTTTTTTCAGGTTTGTTTATTTTTTGTTCTTTCTTTGGTTTTTGTTTTTATGTTTCTTTTTACTTTTTTTGGTGTTGCATTGTTTTAAACTTTGCATAGAACTTGACACCGTATTTTCTCGCTAATTTTCCGCTGAGATTTAAATAACTGATCATTTCGAATACAAAAATGTAGACGTGAAAATTCTTTGATTCCAGAGTCCGGTTGAAGTCAGACAAAGAGACAGAAACAACACAAATAAAAAGTCTTCTTTGAAAATAGACAGTCACAACGAAATCGCGAGAGAATTAGTTTTAACTTTTGCAATCCAAAATTCAATTAGTCTTTTCATAAAATAATTAAAAATCTATAAAATAATTAGAAATCTATTCTTTAGCAAATTATAAATTTTAGAAATACATAAACAACCTAATCGCATTAAACATAGACCCGGAAAAACTAGTTCAATACCTTAACGTTTTTTTTTTATGATTTTCTATGTTCAGCCAAGTTAAGTAAGCTAACTATGCACAAAATCCAATGTTCATAGATAATTCAATCATACTTACCGTTCGCTGAAGTATTTAAAAGCCCCAAGGAGGAATGAGGTTGAAAGATGAAAGCAATGTACCCGAAATAAATCCAAATACAAGACATCTTTGATGTTAATATGATGATTATTTTCACCTGTCAAAGCAAAAATAATGAAATGTGAATTTCACCTTTTCACCGTTTTTCTTATGAAGTATCTAATCGTTGAATGATTAACAGATGGATTAGTCGGCTGCAGTGGAGCATCCCCGCCCATCCGAACTTTGCTCTGCGCATGACAGGATACTGTGATCATGTTTGCGATAAAGAAAATAAATTGATTGTTGGACATTAACAATAGACGAACTACTGAAAACAACAGCAGAGAAGTTGCAAAGAAAGAAACTTGTTTAAAATAATTGTGTGACAGTTTCTCGGCCACACACAGAGTTTGGAAATATTGTTTGGTGTGCCCTGGAAACACCATGAGGTGACCGTTTCTTGTTTTGTCTTGCTTTTTTTATTTTGTATCTATTTAGTTTTTGTTTTGCATTATTTCTTTCTCTCTTCTATAACATACGAAAATTTTTCAAAAGGTATAAACATTTAATCATTTAAATACTTCGGGATGGGGTATTAGTTAGCGAGCTACTTTTGTTGTCCATAAGTAGTGAGTTCAATTTTCACTAGTGGCTCCATAATTATGGCTTCGTGCCGAGCTAAGCATAATATATAACGAATGTACATATAAAGGACAGTTTTTTTTTTATTTCGACATAAATATCTCCGTTTTAAAAGAAAGAGGGTGACAGAGAGAATATATACATTTGTTCTTGTGAAATGATGAAGTCGATTTTAACAAAAACTTTACACCTGTTTTCTAATATTAGCTTCGTCTATTATAAAGTCAAGTAGTAAGGAAATAATGTTGAAGGATTGCACCAATCTTTCTACACAAGGAATGGATACTTTGAAAATCATCATACAAAATATTGTGTTTGGGGGGGTTATCTCGCCTCGGACACCAAAATATGGTGCCTGTTGTTTGGTTTGGTTTATTTTGTTTTACGGCATATCATCCTCAATGGGTTATTTAACGCCGACAATATTTTTTATTGCTGGTGATATTTTGTCTTGTCAAAAATCTATTTTTGGTAATATTTTTGTTTCAAAATTGTATTGCTGGTAATATTTTTTTTCAAAAAAGCATTGCTAGTAATAGTTAACTATTTTCCCATAGCTGGGACCCTAACAGGTGCTACCACCCTGGATCAGGGTGGACCTAGGAACACCATCAATTAAGGGGTGGTTCCACGCTCCTCAAAACCTCCTGATCAGAGGCCTTCCTGCTGGACATAGTTTATCGTCTAACCCAGGACGTGGATGTAGTTTATCGTCTTACCCAGGACGAGGTGCCTGTAGAAAATACGTAACTATTTCAGACCTTCAGTAATGATGTTCAGATTATCAAATCTATAATGGCAAATCAAAGTTCTAAATTTCTTAGTACGAGTATCACTCGAAGCTATTTTCGTTTAAGTTTCCTTGTTTAATTTAATGGTCGAAGATTGGCTATAAAAAGTTGTGATTGAAATCGACAAAACAAGAAAATTCATCCATAAAACTATAAGAAATCCACTAAGAAAATTATTTATTTTTTTCTTTACGTTATTGGATCACGAACCAGTTAGGGAGAAAAGCAGAGATTTACTGCGGCAAATTGCTACGCACACAAGATAGATAGATAGATAGATAGATAGATAGATAGTGAGGTTAAGCGATATTTCATTTTCAGATATCGTATCGCGATAATTAACGACATCTTTCATATTCTGGCATTAACCAACCGACTCAGAGAAAGCAGGTTTCTTGAACGTAGCCATATTCAAATTTAAAAGTCAAGAAACATCTGGAAATCTGTGCAAAACGGTTAGACCTCAGGTATATGTATAGTTCGTGATATGTGGAGAGTTTATATTTGATTCGGGAGAATGACATGACCATACGTGTTCATGATTATATCCTGCCCAAATGTGTCGTGCCTCCAAGCTATATACCCGCAGTTTCTATCCACTGAAACACTGCGTCTGAGGCGGTCGAAGAGAGAAAAACCAACCAGTAAACAGCACAATATCAAGGACTTGTTAAACGCTACGATTTTGGACGTGCTGGTCGACATGTACGAAAAACGGGAAACACTTGATCCAAGCGAGCGGGTATCCTCATCTTAGATATTTGGATGCTAATCTTTCGACTGTCAATTTCTCCAACCTTCCTCACAATGTATACTAAGATATAATAAACATCGAAATAATATTAGACATGTATACATTTCGTTTGGAGAGGGACTGTATTTTATGAGTGAAATCGTTTCTGGGTTTCATTTTTGTTTTTCAAACGTGTATTCATTCTTTTTCCAAAAGAGAGTGCTGTGTTTTCTTTTTCTTTTTTTTTTTTTTGTTATTTTTTATATACACACTGTTGATTCAAAACATTACTAAGGTCTTGGTCCTCCCCATTTCTACAGAACAGCTGAATCAGGTATCGTCGTCGTTGTCGGATCTCGTTGCCGAGTATTAGGGTGTTCATCGACATTTCCTTCTGTCCTGGATTGAATCTAAAGAAGACACCCAGAAGGATTCGGGAAATGAAGAGCTCCGACTTTTTTAGGGCTCTCTTCGTCTCTTCTAGTTTTCTTCTGATCTAGTTTTTTGTTTTTTTCGTGGACTGCTCTTCTCTAATTGATTCATTCTGCAGTTTCCGTTTCCCATTTGGCCCGATAGATTTCTGTCTTCAGCAAAAGTTATTTTTGAGCTCATCGTTTATTCAGTCTTCTTTTTAAAAGAGAGAATTGGGATTTTTTATACACTCAATATACACTAATGATCAAAAACATTACTAACTTCCTAGTAAGTTATTGGTCCTCCACATTTCTACAGAACAGCTGGAACAATTATAGACTTTAAAATGATGCTGTTGTTTTCCTTTCGGATTTAGTACCAGAATGTTATGGTTATGTCCATTAATTTCTGCAACTAGCGGAGTTTCTTCAGAGCGAAATTGATGCACAGCCATATCCCATATGAACTAAATGGGATTGAGATATGGGTAGAGTTTGCTGGCCAAAACAAAACATTTATATCGACTTCATATTCTTCAAAAAATTCACGCACAACTCTTGTAGTGGGTATTGCTTTGCTGGAAAAAAATGCCACTGCCATCGTAGAATGTTTCCATGATGATGTTTACCTCGTCTTCAGAGACAACATCAAACTTGTCTTTTTATTAAATAATCTGTTATCCCAAGTTCCAATTGTATTCATTTTTAAATATCCTGATTGTTTTCTATATACAGGGTGTCCATAAAATTCGTGTGCGCTTTAAAAGATTTATAACTTTATTTGTATTTGCAATAGAAATAATTTGTAAAAAGGATTAGAAAGAAGTAAATCTACATTTTTTAAAGTTTTGAAATTTCATTTAATTTTCTACATGTCCTCCATCATTAGCAATACAAAGGGTAATACGATTTTGCAGTTCACGGAAAACATTTGCCAAGTGATTTACAGTAATGCCTGAAATCACATTAGTTATTTTAGCTATACTTAAAACCAGGTACATTAAACTTTACAACATTTTTTACAGGCTATTTCTATCGCAAATACAAATAAAGTTATACATTTTTAAAGTGCACACGAACTTTATGGACACCCTGTATATCATAATTTCTTTTCAGTAACATGGCGCACCAACTCTCATAATTCATCTCAACTTTTTTAATTAAATTGAAAGCTTTCCATGCGTTTCCATCCTTCTTCCAATTCACCTTTAGGTTATATAGACTAACAAACTGATTTTCATTGTCTAAAATACTTCTAACTAAAAAAAAAAACAAAAAAAAAAACAAGAAATAAACCTCAAACAGGAGTTTGATATGAATCTGTCTTCATTTTCTTGATATCCGCGGTAAAACAAACAATTCCGATATAATAATCCGCTTAATTTCCTTATATTAAATGGCCCAGTATTTGCATATAATCTTTCCATGCACTTTAAAATCACCTCTAGATTATAATATTTACTAAAGATAGACCCTGAAAACACCTTAACTACCGATTCAGATTGATTAAGCAAAGAGGTGTTTAGTAAACGACCTCATCAAATGACAACATATATTGAATTGACATCTGCAGAACGTCTGATGGATGAACAAGAAAAGATGAATGCGGCGATTTCGATATTTATTGATCGAAGTGCAACAAAAATGTACATAATGATTGAGTATAAAGACTGTGTTACGCCAATCTCCCACCTAGAAAGAGTGTTATTTCCTAGAAAATCAACATTAGTGATCACAGCTTTTTACTTAGCCTTCAACATTGATGTCTGGAACTAATGAAAAATATCTTTTTTATCAATCAGACAGGCTCGAATGTAATTATTTCAATATGATCCGAAAAAAAAAACAGACTATGATTCGCAAAAAAATGACACATGACGATAAAGTAACGAAGATTTGACAGTAGATGCCTAAATAAACAAGAATGAAATATTAAACAAGTCCTGGGAAGAGATAAAACGTCTTGATGTTCTATGGGAATCGGAAGACGCCATGATTATTCAGCAATATGTTGCTCTTTGTTCCATTTCAAAGACATTCCCTTTTTTCGTTTTTCTTTTGAACTACAGGAAACCTTTAATATAGACAATAAATAAGCAACACAAGAGACTATTCAAATATATAAGTTGTTTTTTAGCAGACGTTTTGTCTGCTTTTATCAATGTTTATGTTTTCTGGTATGTTTAGCGTTTATCTTTTGTGGTGTGTTTTTCACAATGGCGCCGAGCTTAACCAAAATCAATACTAACTCAAACTTTTCATTAATTCTAAAATATTATTCCATGAACTATTTGGATTAGAATCCTCATTTTAGTTTTGGCATTCTAAGTTTCGCCAGTTTTTCTTTTAAAAAAATTATTGTCATTCTTCTCACAATTAATGAAAAGAGTATCTTAATTTATTGTTTCCATTACAAAGTTTCTGCAGGAAGGTTTCTCTTCTATCTAATAATCACAGATGAATTATTATTATGGTTGTTGTTGTTGATGTTGTTCTTGCATTATAGGTGCCATCTATCAAGTCATATGTCCCTGGACAGAGAGAAATGATTCTCTGAATATTTGCAATGCGAACTTCTGAAGAGGATGGGATATTAGATTTTATTCCGATTTTCTTAATGTCGGACTCAAATTTCAATACCGGTTCCCCAATGATAACTGAAACAATAATGTCCTGAATATCCTGCATTGTGGCAAATTCAATGCAGAAGCTGGTTTATCTCTTAAGCTTGTCATTTTATTTGACCTTGATATTATGATTACGAAGACCAGTCACATCAATAAGGAGGCCTTTTCTTGCTTCTTTGCCAACGACTCTGACATCCGGTTTGGTGGCATCATGAACGCGGTCGATTTGAATGATTAAATCCCACAGGTTCATGAACTGGTCGTTTTTGATCAACTTCCCTGCGGTGTCGTTTCTCGCTAACTTCAAGTCTACAATTCCTATAGGACAGCAATGATAGGCCACAAGTTGGTGCATATATTCTTTCTTTACAAGCATTCCAAAACGTTGATGATGCGGGTGAAACTTGTTCGAATCTACTTAGAGGTAGATGTCCTTCCGGGCGGAATTAGTATTCAGGGCTTGGTCTTGGGCGTCTACCAGACGATTTCTACCTCGCATTTCGTCAACCAATTCCATAAACTTCTTGTTTTAACGGCCTTCGTATTCCTCTCAAACTACTTGTCAGGCAGCATTGTCTCCTTTCATTAAGCTTCTTTCAGTGCATTCTACATATATTCTTCTTTGCTCTCGATATTTTTTACAAGGATTTTAGATTTTGCAACGAACATTCGGAATATTTCTTCACTGTTTACTAAGCATAAGTCCAGCAACTTGCATTCACTTCCTAAAAACAGGATAAGGCTAACATTCAACACTGATCGGCAGGGAAATGGGAAGCTCCTGTACTAAACTTTAAATTGGGGAAAATGATGGGATTTTTTCCGCCTTTTAATTCATCGCTTCAATCATTTATATATATATATATATATATATATATATATATATATTTTATATATACCGTATTATTATATTTGGTGCAGAAACCCAACAAAAGGCCCGGACACACTACACAATATTTATGATCATGTAGGAAAATTTGCTAACAAGGCGTTGACTTAATTATATTTGCCAGTGAAATCCCTCAGAAATTTAGATTCTAAATGATGTCAACCTGTATGTCGAAAAGAAAATAATATTTTGAAAGGACATTGAAAACAACAGAAATAATCATCTTGATTTTTGAGGTCCTCTCTCTTCTTTCGAGCTGATCACCTAACTGACCATTTTTTAAAACCTTAAACTTATTTTCATGAAGCGACCTTTTTATGCAAGTATAAAAGAGTTTTTCTTAATCTATTGGAAAATTTTTTTAACGAACTTCAAAATTTTATACTAAATATAATCGATGTTTCTAGTTTTCCGAATTTGAGATTAAGTATTTCATCGTCTGTTTCTATTTCTGAGATGGGGTATTGTAACTGTTTAAACTATCTACATCTTTCGGGCTGTTGTCTTCATCTTTATTGCCCTATTCACGACGTTTCGGCCGTTGTAATGTTCTGCCTTCACTGTATAAAAGCGTTGGCTGAGTAATCCAAAAAGTAACTTGACCCAAAGAGTTGTGAGTTCAATACCTGGCTACAGAAGAGGGAACAAAATCTTGAAGTTATTAAAGGGAGTTAAGTAAAACTAACATATCCC